ATTGTAAATATTTAAAATGCCAGTTCTGTTGTTTATTGTGTGTGCTTTAAAAATATATTTCTTTCACTAACAACAGCTGGAGGTCTGTGTTTTGCTAAGTATGCCATAACATGCAAAAGCAAACCAGTTAAGCTGCCAAGAAAGTCATGTCAGCCATAGGACGTTATTTTATATACACTGTCAAATATAAAGCAAGACTGTTAAGTAAAGAATGTTATTTACTTACTTTTTATGTACAGGTATATGAATGTTTCTGTTCAGTGCCCTGAGATGACTTCTGTTGTGACTTGGTGCAAAATAAATAAACTGAATTGAATTGACTGACATGAAAAAATTCACTAGCTTTCTGAAATTTCTTACCATCCTCACAGTTTTGAGAACATTGCACATTCAATTCCCCCGGCTCAAGGTGAAACCCTGGTTTTTACTTGCCCAAACACCACTTCAACATGAATCTTCTCTGTCCAGTTGTGACAGAAACCAGCTCTGACTAATAAAACCAGTCTTTATTCATCTAAAAACAGGACTGTAACCACAAGACTCAAGTTTTTCTTTCCACTTCTTTTTCTGGTGTCCATCTATGCAGTTCCAGTAATGATAACAGGGAATAGGAGCTTGTTGTGTGCTGGGAACTATTACAGGCAGTGGTAAGATGCCTGAAACTGTAATTGTAAAACAAAAATCTTTGAAATCTGTGAGAAAACTGAAAGAGTTAAATGTTCCAGCTTGTCCTGTTTAAATGAACATGCTGCCATGTTAAATATCTAAAGCTTTGTACTGTGCAACCAGAGTTTGTAGAACATATTAAACACAAAATAACACTAATCTGGTACAATCTGATTCAGGGGTCTAGGGAAACAGATACAATAGCTTTTCTCTGAAGTTAGAAATGCTTTCAAACACCTATAAAGATAAAGGATAAGTTTGATGTTGGCCTACGGTATGTGAGCAACTAAAGTAAAATGAACAGTCCAGTTTGTGCCACCATGAATGATCAGAGCAGCCATGTTGGCCTTTAAGGTGTTGAATTCCCAACATTATCAAATGCACTTTATATAGAAGCAGGACAATGTTTCCATAGCAATACATAATGGTACCTATAGGACCGCGCTGTATTATGAAGTGACTTGTTATCCTGTAGGGTAACAAGTCACTCCATAATACAGCCCAGACCCAGTATAAAACAGATTAGCAGCTCATAGTTGAATAAATGTTTTTATATTTAAATGTCTCATACTTGAGCTAAACACCAATGCCTCTAGAAACAGCACCAGAGTATCACAAATACACATGAATATATAAACTGCTGGAACTAGCAATTATTATCACTTGGTTGTTTATATGATTGATGACATTTTCATTCATGTGCAAACCTTGAAAAGTCCTCATGAGCTTTAGAGGAGATAGGAAGCATCTTATAATTGTGAACAATAAGATCTAACCAATAAAACCAGAAAATGATGCCAAGATCAAATTGATACACATTCTACGAAATAAGCATCATCAGTTATGTGTTCATATGTGTTGTGCATTATTTTATACTAAAAGCACTCCAGCCCTTCTTTTTCAATCAAATAAGTACTTGTGATACAAAAAGAATTGTTTACTTTTTGTTTACATTGTTTACCCCACAACTCAAACAATATGGACACAGTAGCTACACTTACACCATCTCACAGGTGTCCGTCATCTTACGGACGACTGAACGTACATGTTCGCGTTGTATCTCGGTGCGATGCCAATAAAGTTTATTCTGATTCTGAGCTACCTGAACGTTTCATTAAAGTCTGTGCAGTGGAACATGAGATATTTTGCTAACGGACAAACAGGCATGACTCCAACAGATAATGCTAAAGTTTTAAGCAAAGATTGTGCTCAATAAGTCGCCTTTGGAGTTTGTGTTGTGAAATACTCTTGACTAGAGCCACTTCAAACATCTGTGTTATTGACAGAGCTGTAGCTAATTTGGGGTATTTTAAGGTCAGCTGGCTGTGGCGGCCATCTTGAATTGAATTAGCTCTAAAAGTTAATAGAGTGCAAGTAAGTTGAGTGATTATTTCCTAAAGGTGACATGATCTGTGTATTATTGAACCCAAGCAGGTGAACACGGAGGACTCAAAGGTAAAATATAGAAAATTGTCTTTATTTAATAAAACGTAAAACAAAAGCTGCCAACGTGGCAGCAAAACTTACGTGAGCCAAGGGAACTATGGAGCAACAGATCATGACAAGCTGTGGGAAACACAATACATGGACAAGGAGGAAACACAGAGATGCTGAACTTATAGTGAGACCAACGAGACAACATGACGAACACCTGGGGGGATTAGAACTGGAAGCAGGTGAAGGTAGCAGACTTAATGATGGAGGGAGAGAGGGGAAATGGCACAAAACACAGATTCTTATAAAAAATTAGATAAAAAATTGTCCTGTAGTTCATGAGGTATTTATCATTTTATTTATTTTATGCATTTTCCCTTCTGAGACAGAGCCTCAAAATCATAAAAGCCTCATCTTTGTTCTGCGTTCGATGATTTTTGACTGCTGTGATGACCAAGGTTCAGTGACTTTATTAGTGTTTGAAAACAAACAAGCAAACAAACAAACAAACAAAAAAAAAAAACAAGGCACGAGAGAAGAGTAGGCTCTAAATATGGACTCAACTCAGTGGAGTGTGGCTCATTACAAAAGCCTTTTTGTGCACATACAGACATTAATACACACTTTATCACAGACAGTGAAGAGAAGCGAACAGAGCAGTAAGAGTAATCAAAAGGACAAGTATTGTGAGAGGGTTTGTGTGCTGTTGACAGGCAAGAGTCAAATGCAGGCACGGCAAAAGTGAATGATGTGAGCAAATAATTAAAAATAAAATGGAATAGAAGGGGCTGCAAATCAAAAAAGTTAAACAA